ATTTCTTTATTTGTAATTCTATCAGTCCATGATATTTTTAATACTCTGCGGTATAACCAGATTTCGAAGGCCTCGATTCTTTTTAAATTACATTTTTTTAATGTCCCAAGTCTCTGCTCCATATAAGAATATTGAAAATATATAATAGCGAATGGTACGAAGTCTGATCTCCAAATTTAGATTTTTGCACGTTAGTAGTGGCTTCATTCGTATAAATGCTGATCTGGAAATCTCTATTCGCCCGTTTATTTCTACAGTATGATCATTGGTTTCATTCATCAAAGTTCCCAAGTACTGATATCTGTCTATTTGTTCTATCACGTTTTGTGGTCTTTTTGTAATTAGCATGTACTTCGTTTTTTTAGCGTTTATAGTAATTCCCATCTCAGCATTATTCATACTAAGGCTTTCAATAAGATATTGTAGATCCTCTATACTCGTTGCTATAATCACAGTGTCGTCTGCATTTCTTAAGTTGTTAATTAATTTTCCGTTAACGATGACTCCCGCTTCGATATTTTTGAGCGTGTTTTGGAAAATTTCTTCAGAATATAAGTTAAAGAAAAGTGGCGATAAAACACATCCCTGTCCAACTCCTCTACAGATCCTCTACAGATCGACAATACTAGCTGGATCGTATTTTCAAATGATAGGGTCTCTCTGGTTAAAACCAACATATGGTGCTAGATTTAAAGTATATCTGGTTTTTCTAAAATTTTAATCCTTATTTATTAGGTTTGGAAGATATATACTATTTAAAACCGCCATCTTCCTCGAAAAGCCTAAGGTCTCTCATCTATAGAGCCATACTCGCTGATTGCATAGGATTTTTCGCAATTTTTTACAAAACTTGAAAACAGTTATCTTATAGGCGCCAGCTTATTGGACAATTTTATTTCATCTCAAGTTTCTAAATCATCAAATCTAAGATGTCTTAACAAACATAAATAACTTTGCTGCGACATCGTTAACCAAAACATTTTAACCCCACAGCCATTTCTCTCCCACAACTCATCTATGTTTAAACGATTACTTTCCAAACACCCTCCAAATAGAGCAACCCTAGTAAATCCTCAGAAAGAACTGAGGTAGGCTTATGTCCGCAGTAGACGCGATTGGCTGATTGATGATGATTACCATTTGCACCGGGCAGTGATTTTCTAGACTACTCCAGCTTTGCCTAAAAAACCAGCAATCTATGAAACTTTTGTTAGTTACTACAGCCACTTCGCAGTCATCGTCATCCCCTTTCTTGTTCAGTGTCTGAATCTGAAAAATATTCCTCGATTCATCGATTCCTTATCTATTTCATCGTCTGATTCAATGTGATCAAAATATTGTTCTGTATCAGTTTCAACTTCCTTAAGCAACAAAAAACTACCGTAACCACCTAAAGATTTTCTGCAATAAATTGGTATACAGGCGTTTATAGATAAACTACAAGATGTTTAAATGCGATAAGCTCTTCAATTACAGCATCACTAAACGCAAAATGAAGTACTCAGAAGTATGAAGCGGCGAAAAGTATTTCCAGACTTCGCCCAAAATTAAAAGAAATAAGATTTTAAAAAAATAAGTAAGTTATTACCGGAGATAACAACTTATTTTATCCCAGATGTTAAACATGTTGCAAAATCTTTAACAAAAATCATATAATGAAACCAGAAGACGTTTTAATTGTGGCAGAACAGGACATTTGCAAAATAATTGCAGAAGCCGATCCCACACAAGGAAGAAAGAACCAAAGAATGAGGTCATAAGGTCGCTTAAGTCTAAATCTACAAGTTTCTCACATAGTACTACCAGAAATACTAGTAGAGATAGGTCTTTAATGAATTGATATTCCACAACTCACTACAGACATCCAAACTATAGCCATCACACGTCGGTTTTCTCTAGTAAAACCTCCAATTTCGTACTTATCTTAAAAAACAGAATTTAGTACATAAGGGCTACGTTGACAATTAAAAATGTATGTTTGTTATAGACACCAGTGCAACCATATCCTTTATTCGATCTGAATTTCTGAATGATCAACTACAACCCACTAACACAAACTTATTTCTTGAAACAGCTTCAGGTCACACTATTCCAATTCATGAAGAGATACCGGCAAGCATACAGATTGGTAACACCTTAATAAAATACATTTTTCTTGTAGCCGATAATAAAGATAAATGCGTTTTTGGGAAAGATATTATGCAGAACAAATTTATCATATATCTTCAAAATAAAATTTTGTTTATTAAAACTGAAAAAGTTGTCCTAAATTTGAAAGAATCGATACACTAATGTGATAACGCTATATAGGACACAAGCAGTTATGACTATCTTGAGAGAGAAGGTATTCGCCGTTTTGAGTGGAGTGCGATGTTTACAGACATGAACCCCACTGAACATGCATGGGATGTGCTTTCCAGAGCTGTTCATGTCCAAAGAAATCCTCCTAAAACCCATCATAAACTTACAATTGTTTATAGAGAAGAATGGCACAAAGAATGATTAATCGATTTGTTAGCAGTATTAGAGCTCGAATCCAGGCTTGCATCGATGCCTGTGGTTAAAATATGCGATATTTAAATTGTTAAATACATTTAATTAGAAATAAATTGTTTAGTTTTTAATTTTTATTTATTAAAAAAACATTACCTCTTTTAATAAGTTTCTGAAAATAGTTAAGAATAGCGAAAATTTTGGATAATACATAACTTTCAAAAGTATATGTATTAATATTCTATTATGATCATAGATCCACTGTCACGTAATAGCAAGTTGTCTTTTTCAGGATGTGGAAAATTCATGTTGTTGCAAGTACATCTGGTTCTCTACGTTTGGTACGCTAAAGTGTTCTTAAAATTGAAGTCTCTTTAGCAGTAGTAATTTAACACCATTTTCTTAAGGAAGTTTTGAGCTACAGACACTTTTAAATGTTTAAATTTAAGGAATATTAAAAGGGTTCATTATATTTGATGTTACAGGTAGATATATTTATTTTAAGACACAATTTTTAAAATAAATTTCTCCACGAATTTATCCTGATGTTTGTCCGTTAAATTTATAAACGTGGTTTCAATTGCAACTGTAATAAAAATTAATTTCCACGTTAACATAAATAAACAAATTAATTCAATTTTTACATTGCGAATTAAAAGTTTACAAATAGTTGTAGTTAAGAACTTGCAATGCAACAAAGTGTCTCCGTTACGAATTGACGGTGTTACAAATTGTCCGTTACTATTTATGGGGTTACCAACTAGAATAAATTGTTTTTATGTTTCTTAAATTATTAAAATTAAATCCTAATGTATTTCATTTTATTGTTGAAGGTGATAAAGTATGCATTAGATGCGAATCAGAAGCCTTACACGAAGACCTCAACTGGAGATGCCAAGGACATGGAGTCGAAGGTCACATAACGAGATGGTCAGCTCTTTCTGCTCCACATTGTCATGGAAAATGGTTAAGGGTACGCACAGAACCTGACAGAAATTGTTCAGTTCGAACATGCGCCGCTGGGCCAGCTTTTATTTTTGTTTAAGTGCCATAAATATCGAAAATTTGATAAAACTTAAAACATGATTGTATAAGAAAATAAAACTCAGCGTATTGTATTTAAAGTTTATATTATGAGTGCAGTGCATGATATAATATAAAAGATATATTAAAAAATAAGTACTTAAAGATGTGTCGAGTGTAAAAAATTGTGTTATTTTAGTAATAAAACTTTTATTTGAGCAGTGCAAGTCCGTATTTAGCGGTATATGTATACGGTATGGTGCAAATGAAACAAATAAATTCGTTATTTCGTAAATCGGCGACTTTAAGGCAAAATCCTGAAACCCGTTGATTTTTATTCTTAATAATGCTCTTTATAAGGATCTATCTATCTATCTATAGCCCAAAATCTATTCATGTGTTGAATATAGGCCTCTGTAAGGATACCTTTTTATTATTGACGGCATCTATATAAAACAATAAATGTTTCATATGTAGTATTCGTTAAGTAGAACAAAATCTAAGATAAGTGCTTAAATTGTTTATCTTTAGCTAAAATACAACTTCTCTATAACTTTCAGAGTTATTTGTGTAACCTTCATACGTATACTTCTTTGAGTTCATTGATATTTTGTAGTCTATTTTGGTACAATTTTCAAGTATCCCCATAAAAATAAATCAAGAGGAGTCAAATCAGATGACCTACATGATCATTCTGTTGTTCCGGTTCTACCTATTCACCGATTTGGAAATACGTTGAAAAAATTGCACGTATTTTGTGGGCGCACCATCTTGCTGCAGCCATAAATCATTTTTGTTTGAAAACAATCAGTTCAATTCGGGAGAAAGAAGTTTTAAACAAATTCAACTTCATGTTAATAAATACAAAGAGTTTTTTAATTCGTGTATTAAAATAATACTATTACTCACTTGACAGAAAGTTCTTTTAAAAAGGTGAAAAGTAGGTAGATAAGACATTTCATTACCAGTGACGGCATTTACAAAAATTATTTTTGAGGGTCAATAAATACATCATACCAATACTTAATACATGTTATTAAGAAATTTTTGAAATTCCTTCAGTAATTTCACATTTCTATTTAAAAATTTTAGCAATAACGTCATCATACTCACATAACGTCGGCTTACTTTCAAAACCTCCTATGTCGTTTTAGACTAATTTTACAGGAAGGACAAAAAACTTGTTTAATGTATCATACATCAATCTTGTGACTTAATATTTTATTAAATACTAATCAATGATAATTTTGACTTGTTAACTATAATTTTGACTTAAAATCCCAACTGCATAATTTTTAATAAGACTTAGAAGGTTTTGAAAAAAAAAACAGTTAATGTTTTAGACTTAGTAGCTTTTATTTCTGTCGAATTTTGTCGGCATACAATTGAAATAATATGAACAACTAAACAAAGAAACCCAATAATACAAAAGAAAGTAAACAAATAAGTATTCTAATCGAAGAGAACATATAAAATTGAAAAAACTAGTCTAATTCAAATGGTAGTGTGTCATAAAAAAGATGATAGTCCGCTGGTATTACTTCTTTTAATTGTTGTAAATGATCGTATTTACTTTTTTTAATTGGTAGTTGATTCTGATACAGAGGAACTATATCTCCAACCCCTTGATTTTTCTTTCGTTGTCTCTTTTCCAATACCATCCAAGTATCATCAAAATTCAATTTGTAGTATAGCTTTCCATCAGGTCTGTACTGAATGGCACACAAATCATTAACAGTAGGATCTCCTGTTTTACAGCCAGGACGAATTGAAGTGTAATTGTTAAGTAGTGCAGAAAAGTTTTTAAAATATTTATGATTTAAATATTTAACTTGATATGGCTTTGGATTTAAACGAGCGGATTTGCAAGCAGCAATATACCCGGCAGGCGAATAAATTTCTCTATTACGGATTTTTCGCTCAATTGAAGAGTGCATACTATCGCACTCCATCTGGGTGTGACCACTTACCAAATATTTCTGAGTAATAATAATGCCTTTGCTTACTGATAGATGCAAAAGTGCGTTTGACAAAATGGCGTTCTTATTTTGGGCAGTGCATCCGTCACTGTATAAAATAATTTCTTCCCCTTCCGACAAATTGAGTTCTTCTATAAAATTGTACAAAATTGTTGCGAATTCGTTTGAGGTTACTTTTCCTTCAGCTTCATGCCATATGAAGCAATTTGCATCTTTTGTGATTAAATTATATAAGGTAAAGTTATGGACCACTAACTTCTTTTTGTAATAAATTTTTGAAGCTTTAAGCATTGGACAAAGAAGTACTGACTGAAGATCCATCGTAAAAACGCGCTGACCTATGGTTTTATCAGATAATTTTTCATCGCGTGCTCTATTTTTCTTGGTAATGTGTTGATTATATAAATGCTCATCGACGTTCCCAGCCTTATAAGAGACACAAAGATCACATTGATCTTTTTTCGGAGAATATAAACTTAAATTATTTAAAACAAACTCCTCGTGGAATGTCTTTATGGAGAGAGGTTTCACACTTTTGTCTTGACAGTACTTAACATAACTTCTGTATAATGCAGCTTTGCTTTGTCAAATTGGCTCCAAATATTTCTTACTCGATGAAACTCTACAATAATGAGATTCCAATTTTGGTAATTCCATAAAAAAGTTCTTTAATTCAATTTTCTCCGTTTCATGTCTACGGTTGATCCTATTTGTTTGTGTCAAGTTAACATCACTATCAAGGTAATCCATATTATCATCCTTACATAAAGTTGCCCAGTTATGCAAGGACCATGTTCCCAGGCTTAAAGTATTAATAAACATAACCTGGCACACTCTTTCGCGAACACCATTTTTCTTCAAATGGCATTTAAATGTATTAGAACGTCTTGAAGTTTCATTCGTTCTGTTCTTCAAATCTTTTGGAGCCATGTTGTCTACAAGGCTTGAAATGTAAACTTTCTTTTCAGCCCAACTCATGTTTTGCCAAAACTGATTAAAAATATGTTGTCTATCTTCTTCTGTAAAATTTCGGCATTTTATTTTCTTTGATTTTTCCGACATCTTACAGTTACAGAAAGGCTTCATTTGACGAGGTGGTTTCGCTACATCTATCATCCATTTTCCCTCTTCATTTTTTCTAAGCCCATCATATGTTTCACCTTTTTCACGTTTAGTCTTACTCTCTTGCCTTTTCCAAATCAAAGTATCAGGTTTTCGTCTTCTTTTTCTTTTGATTTCAATATATTCTTCAATGTTTTCCACTAACACCTCGTTGTTTTCTGGTCCACAATTTTCTTTTCCCAATCTTTTCCTTTCCATTTGTTTACTCGTATCAAGGTATTCATCTTCGCTCTCTTCATATTTACTTCCATTTGGTACGTAGTTTTCATCATCAACACATCGCTTCTGGTTGGCCATAACAGTACTTGAAATACCGGTCTCGGCAATATCATCATCACATTGTTTTGGATCGTCTTGCACTTCACTTCTCTGGTCAATTACTATACTATTGTGGAAAAATACAGTTTCTGTAGCGCCTAAAATTTATTTGTGATAATAAAATTACTTTACTTTTACTACTAAAAATGAATTCGAATAATCTTACCATTCAAATCTTGTATTAACAATAATTCATCATGTTGTTTCTCACAGTCATCCCTTAATAATTTAATAGCTTCTTCTACTTCTGTCCGAAGTTCAAAACCATTTTCATTTCTCATTTTGTATTTTACAGCCATTCGTGTCTTTAATGTAGTTCCAAATGAAGTCGAAGTACTCGTACTATCCATTTTTGAGAACGTTGCGCCATGACCTTCATTAATATTTTTTGTAGCTACAGTTACCATAAAATTATTTCTGCTCAAACCTCCGTACATCTTAAAAAGAAAAAAAAATTCAATTTAAAAAATTCAATTAAAAAATCATTTATTAAATGACGAGTTTCAGGATTTTTCCTTAAAGTCGCCAGCTCATGAAATAGGTAACGAATTTATTTCTTTCATTTGCACCATACTGTATAAAATTTTAAAATATAATACTGCACAATTCGGTTTTAATATTATAACGACGATTTATACAAATCTATATTACATATTTTGTTCTTTCGTCTTAGCAGATTGTTTTTGATTCAGGAAACCAACATCTGTTATCATTGTCGATATCATTATCAAAATTTAACTAAAGAATTGGATTATCAATCTATATTAATAATCCAGTAGAATCGTTGCTAAAAATTAAGGACATTATTTTAACAATTCTTTTTGTATGGATGTACTAGGATTTTTAAACTAGATATGCCAACTAGAGGTGTGCTTATTAGTTCTTTTAGACGAACTAGTTCAACAGAACTATTTCACAAAAATGAACTAGTTCAGTGAACTAGTTCGCGAAAGAGCTATTTGTAGGACCGACATCGAAATCCAACCCTAACAGAACTGGTTGCCAGATGTCTCGTCTCAATCATCACACAAGGTCGGCGCTGGCCGCCCGTTTACTTCGATTTTCAGTCAGTCTTTCACTAGTTCACTATTGCACAAATAGTTCGGAACTATTTCTTTCGATCGTATGTTTAGGTTTAAATGGTTTAAATTATTATATGATTAGTTAGTTTTTATTTGCAAAAAATTATTAAGATTTGTTTTTTATTAACCGGTTTAAATATAAATATGATTCAAGTATGATTTATTTTTATATTTACGTATATTTAAACTCTATTTATATTTATAGGTATTTATAATTATGACTATTAAGACTATTAAGACTTTATGTTATTGTCACATTCATAAGAATTATGAATCTGTTATCTGAGGCTAATCGGCATTTTTTTAAACTAGTTAATCCATCCATTCACAAAATAATAAATATATTTATGTTCTAATTCATTCATTCATTATTTTCTTCTTTAGAAGTCGAGACATAATTTATAATGCAAATCGTTCGCAGTGAACTAGTTCTATGAAAATTAATGAACTAGTTCAATTAGTTCAGTTGAAAGAATCGTTCATTAGAACTATTTCGATGGTGAACCACACATCCCTAATGCCAACTATCCCGATAACTCAATGATTGATGTTTAAAGCTATAAAGAAAATTATTAATAATCATTGCATAAAAAGATTTTGAAACTGTTTTATTGTGGCATGTCTAAATTAAATATTATGTTTATATGGTATTAAGTCACAATTGATTGTAATAAAACTTACATTTTATAATTGATATTTGACGTTTCGATTTCCACTTACTTCGGAAATCATTTTCAAAAAAGCTTATCCTAAAATAGTGAGCTGTTGAAAAAGTAATTTTCATTAGAATAGATTGTTGCTTAATCTCATATAAATATAATATTTGTAATTATTGAACTTACACCAAAAATAAAATTTATCATTTAATAAACTAAAATAGATGTTTTTACTTGTTATACACACTTAAAAAAATATTGTGTACGTTTTTTCTTATCATCAAATTGTTATGTGGGAACGTTTTTCACTTAGTTTTATCATATTTTCGTTATGCACATCTTTATAAAATCATTTAAAACTGACACAAATATGTTCTTTTTTATTATTTGTCTTTTATTGATAATGTAACTAACATAAGGATAAGTTTTAAATTTATTAGCCCTTTTTGTGTACCAAAAAATATAATAAAATGAAAAATATATAAAAAATATTATATACTGCTCGTGTAGTTTGCGTAAAACATTTATGATTTATCTTTAAATAGTTATTTTGTTGTTTTATAGTTTGACTAATTTTTACAAGAATCTGAATATTTCCTATGAAATACAAACATAAAAATTAGGAGTATTATTTTATTACTTTTTCGATCATTTGCTGTTCATTATTTTCGTAAACCAGCAAGAAAGCAAGCAGGTTCACGCAAAGTAAACGATCTAGAAAATCCTAGTCGAAAACTACGTAAATGTCGAATGTTTTAATGTCTAATGTCAAATAAAGCATCGATCTGCAATGATAATCATGAAACCATTCTGCACCAACCTAAATATTTTCTAAAATCAAATTAGCACCTGTGAAGAAATAATGCTAGAGTAATACTAATTATTGTGGCGGCCATAGCTCAGTGGTTAGATACCTTATCAAACCGAGTTTAATCCCGGAGACCCCAGAAATGTTTCAATTTCTAATTTAACTGAGCCGCCACTGCGTTAGGCATGGTACGTAAAGCCGTCGGTCCTTGCTAGGTACACTAAAACCTGAGCCAGTCGGTTACTGGTAGGACTGTTATAACAACAAATTGCTCCCGAAAAAAAAAAATTAATAAAAAAACTGTAAATTTTGATGATTTTTTTCTTGTGTGTTTGCTGATCTATTTCAGTATGTTTTCTTATGTTTATGCCTTGGTATATGGTACTTGGTATATGATACTTACGAACTCCACGTCTTTTTTTTTCTGCACTGTGGCAAATGCGTTACTTTATTTTTATGACAAATACATTGTTTTCTAGCTAAAGTTAAAAATTTTAAAAACCTCGGTGTATATAAAACGTGATAAATAACTTACATATCATACAAGAACATTACTTTAATTCACAAATATTTAAACTTATTCCCATTCTATTCAGTTTAACTTATAAATCTTATTTTATTATTTAATTGCTGGTAGAAACATAGTAACTTAATATCTTTCTTAATTTCATGTTACCAACAATACCTCCCCAAACGTTCAGCGTCCATCTAGTTTGATTGTGTTACTATGTGGTATAGATTAGTTTTGGCATAATAATGAAAGTTATGCCTATTTACAAAACAGTTTTTATGAAACGTAGCTTCATCTCCAAATAGTATATTATCTAAGAAATGTTTCTATTGATTATTTTTATCTAAGGCCCATTCACAAAATATGATTTTCGTTTAATAATCTTGCTAAAACAATTCTTGATGCAATTTGAATACGGTACTTAAATGGAATTCTCGGGAGTTCTATCTGTTCTATCTCGGATCTACTGAGCTTTATCACACTAATCAATTGCCCTGTATATATATTTATATATATATATATATATATATATATATATATATATATATGTATATATATATATATATATATATATATATATATATATATATATAGTGTATCAAATTAAGATGTGTATATGATAAAGATTTGTTTAGATACACTATATATTTTAGCCTTAGTTTCTTGAGGACCTAAAGATTCTGAGTAGAAGACTTACTTCCCTAACATTTAGAATAGTCATATTTTATCTATCTGCCACAGTATTATACGCATTTTCCTTTTTTTACCTCGTTAGATACAGCTTGTTGATACAGATCAGATACAAACAAGAGGATTAACGTACTCATTCATATACCGGTGATTAATTCAAAAGCTTTCAGTTAGTCCAAGACCAGTAAACTCTTGTATGAAATATTTAAGAATGCCCATCATGTAGAAGTAATTTACAACTTTCTACTTCTGTAGCCTGGTTTTAAATATGGCCAACTCCATTTAGCAAAATTTTCGGTACAGGTAAAAAACTGTTTAAAATACTTCCACTCAATTGGTACTGTTGAATTTTTTGTTGTTGGTTAATAATTATTTCCAGAGTATCTTCGAATAATAATAGTTATGCTTTTTTACTGTATTTAATGGGATATTTAACGTTGAAATATGAAGTTGGCCGTGTTTGTAACCAACATGTGGAGATTTTGTCACCAAAAATATTGCTGATGGTGTCGCTGATATCTTAAGTCAGCAGTAAAATATCAATAGCAATGCATTAGGGCTTGCCCTATACTGAAAATTTTTTTGGTGAAAATAAAAAAAGTTAAATTATTTGGTAAAAATATTAATAACTTATGGGGTTAATACAATATTTGTCCATAAAATTTAAAAACCCGATCAATACACTAACAACAAAAGTTCTTTAGATACCTGCTTGATCGGTAGACAATATCTGAATCTTACAATAATTTCTGAATCAAAAATCCACTACAACTTGGTTGACTTCCATGTCTTCATCACAGTCTGCATTATTTAAGCACTCATATTCAGGAAGTGGATTTTGAGGCATCATTTCATCATTATTTATCACTTCGTGATACTATTTCACATTTTTCATTTCACTTTATTTTTCACCATAATGTTTTTGTAATAAAACGCGCACGTCTTTAATTTTTAACGTTTTCGCTTTGACTCCAAGCGTAAGTTGAGTTGGGTTTATATTTCATACTTTTTGCCCTGGTCTCGTGACACTCAAACTTGAATTGATTGGGAAACTGTAGTTTTGTTCGCCACTGACTTTTGTTTCTTGGTCAGAATTAACTTTTTGACTTGTGAAATTTTGAAATGAAAATTTTTTGGGTCTCTAACACAGCTTTTAACTTCTGACTTCCAATCTTGGTTGGTCCAGTCTTTTTCTAAAAGTTTTACTGTCCAAGGCTTAGTAAACTCTGAATGATACTCTTCAAGCTACACAATTGTATCTCTTTCCTTTACACTTCGTTCTATGCCACCAAAAATTTTATCACTAGGCAAATATGAGTGACCGGTAACAGGAAACACAAGTTCCACTGTTGTGATAAAAGTTTTAGTCCTATGCAGCTAAGCAATGCAGATCGTTAATACAACTATTCTTGTTTTGGCCTGGATACCCATCAGCTACCAGCCTTAAGGTGTCTTTTCCTTCAAAGTAACCAGATTTAGATCTGCACTCAAGTTCTTCAAATACTGCAGAGGCTATTTCACTCCAAGACTTTTTTATTTCGTGTTCGGCCCAAGAGTAAATTGATACGTTTTCTTTGGGTAAAGCTGCGGTTCCAGTAGAACATCCAGAAAATATCATCAGATTATAGCACTATAACTGTCTTTAATAGTTCACATTCTGATCTTGAAGCTTTGGCAGAGGCATATTTTTTGCATGTCGTACGACATTATAGCAACATTATCATTTTTTCATCTTTTTTTCATAAGGGTAAAAAACCCTTTAGTACGAGTAGTGTGAACAGTGTACTCTGCTTTGAAGGTTTGCAATATTGCCCTATTTTTTTCAACTTTAATTTTTTCTTTGCACTGAAGACACGTTGAACACACATAAATACGAGTACTGCTCGCTTTACAGTAATGTGATTCTGTGCCTTTAAACTGCTTTACAAAATGTATTACAGAATCAATTTTTTTCTGATATTTGTTAGCCTTCCTATAACCACCTTGAGTTTCAATGGGGATGACACGTATTTTTTAAATCTTGTGAAAACACCTTTAACTCCTTGTTTTGTGATTCCCAATATATTAATAAACGTGTTCCTACATATCTCTAATCTATTTCCTGCTATTGTTTCAATACAATATTAGTAGGTTACGCCTTTAGTATGTCGTGATCCGTCTCCTGGTCTGGTTCTTGCATCTTCAATAAACTGAAATTTTTCTTCCCTTTGTGGTCATATGAAGGAGCATCAGGTAATCCCTTTGAACTGTACCTAAAACAAACATTGGATTCAAAACCAAAATACAAACTGTTTTATGTCAGGGGAACTTATTTTATTCTAACATAAATTAAAGAAAAATAAAAATATTGTGAAGAGTGAATAGGTTAGGCATACTAGAAATTGGTCCGTTTTCAGTCTAATAACTAGAATACGCCTAAGTAATAGTAACTTTGAATGAATGTTATTCAAGTTTGTAGATTACGGTGTAATACTAACCTCAAAATTTTCTGTTTGTTTTTTTTTTTTTCTAATTGGACGGATTTGGTAGTTTTTTCTTCCTTTTAACAAAGGAGATTCATTACCCTTCGTTTCTTCCATGTTATTTCTACAGTAAAATCTTTTTAGTGTATTAGTCAAGCTTTAAAATACTAAACAATAAAACAACACCAGTCACAACACACCAGAATAGCTCAGTTCACTGCTGTCTTCTGTTTCACCTGAGGCGGTAAGGTCACGTGACAGAATGAAGCCATCTGATTGGTGCTTTGTGGAGATGGTTGTTTTTGTCACCAACATATTTGAGAGCTGGCTGATTTTGTAGGGTACATTTGTTTGTCAAATGCAGTTTTAACATTATTCTGGTCATTTTTGACACCAAAACTACTTAGATTTGGATTCCCCATGTTATTTTACACAAGAATCCGTCAATACTTAAATTTTCAAAAAAATGGAGTTGACTATCTTTGAAACCAGGCTACAGACTGACTTTAAACAAAGTATTCAATAATGTGTTAATAATAGACGAACAGGAATATTCATATCTCGTGAGATGTATGAGTTTTACTTAAGAACAAAATTTTGCAGATAGAAAAAAATTTCAGGATTAAGTTTTCTTTTGGGGAAGTATAAATTCCCTAATATACTTAATTATACTTATATTGACGCTAGATAACAACCATCTAAAATGGGTAAAGATATGCAGATATATTCCTTTACTGGACTTAATTGTTTTGGATTAAACTCGATCAATATTTGCTTTTCCTTGGGTAAGATTTAAGATGTTGAGTGAGTTTAATCGCAATTACAGCTTATGCTAATTAACTTGTCCACTTTCAAAGGTTTCCTTAAAATATTTAATTATGAACAAATTTAGTTTCAATCGAAATCGACTTCCCAATTACATTGTGTAAATAATTATTTTTTTTTTGTTCCGTTTCACGACTCTAAAATAAACTGCCACGCCGTTGTTTCTACTAAAATTGTTGTAATGTAAAATAAATAAATAATATTCCACATGCAAATTTTATATAAAATACATAGAATTTCAGATTCTTGTATAATGCAATACGACTGAATAAATTTACGTTTTATATGTATGTATAACTTTGAAGTTTACTTGGAATGAATCATACTAATATGTTAAAATTATTGTAATTTTAACCTGAAGCCGTAATTTGTTCGAGAATAATTATTAGCATAAAATTGTTGAAATTGGTGTATTTTAACAATCAGCTTTGAACTCGGTATACTACACTAAGTAGTTATTTTTAATGTATTGTGCCATATTAAATTGTGTTTAAAAGCGTTTCAAACCAACCTAAACATACAACAAATAGAAATATAATTTTAATCGTTCATTACTTCCAAAATAGACTCAACAAGGTAAATTTATCAGGTAAATTATGAGCAGGTACAAATTAATTTGCAGGCACGCTGTAGAAAAAATGGTGCAGCGACGACGTTCGATACTAGCGACCAGGTTGGCGACGTGACACGACGCACAACGCGTCGCACTCACATTACATAGTTAAGGTATGAACAGATTGCTGCGATTAATCGGTGCGTCGACGACAATATCGCAATGCGAAATTTTCGCGAGAATAACGGCCGCGGCGATTAACGGGAGCCAACACATTGGAGCGATGATATGTCGCAGCGACAACGTTAGTACTGCGTTATATTTTGTTAACATAGGCGGCTGCGTTTTCTCTATTGGTTATCGTTGCGAATTTAGAATGGTTCCAGCAGAGAAATTAATAGAATTCTTATTCACTTTAATTAATTGATTAAATAATTATCCTTATATATTCACTTTAATTATTAATATTTAGAGTTTTTATTTACATTTCAAGTATTACAATAGTTAACAAATTTTTCTCTAGTTGAAGATGCTAAATTGGTTGTATTCCTTGGGTCTCTTTCTATATCAGTAAAAGCTCTGTATAAATTTGCTTTAGTTTCTGAAAATTCTAGTCCTTGTGGGTTTACTTTAGAGCGTAAAAATTATGCAAAATGCAACAAGTTTTGATAATTGAAATTGTGGTTTCAACTTTTGTCTCAATTGGCTTAAAAAATACTAATTTGAGCTAAAATGCCAAACTCATTTTCTACCACACAAACGAGTATTAGATCTTTTTTTTCGTCTGTCGTTTCTAGATTGTTTGTAGTGAAAAGGTCTCATTAAAAAAATTAAGCAAAGGCCTCATCTCCAATTAAAACGTGTGGACAAGGTTCTACTTGTCCAAGAAGATTTATATCTCCAGGAACATTCATTAAACCTGCCTCAAATCTCTGGCCCATGTTTAAACTTAATGCATATAAATTTGTAAGTGACATCAACAATAGCCATCAGTACTATTGAGAATTTTTCAAATGGTTTGACTCGATTTTTCCAGGGCATTTATAGTTAGTTACATGTTTTCCTTCCAAACTACCGATGCAGTTTGAAAATTGCCACACGTTTCAAAACTTCAGCTGTCGTATATTTCTCTGCTTTCATTTTTAAATTGCAATTTTTAATGTGAAAATATTATCCATAGTGGACCGTCCGGCCCTAAATCCTGCTTGTTTTTCGGGTTGTTTTTCTTTAATATCATTTTCTATCAGACTTTGTAGTACTTTTGAGTATAGTCGGCCTATAGTAGCAATCACTGCGATCCCTCTATAGTTTTTTTTTCTTCGTGCCTTTCTTTTGTATTGGATACATACACGATTGTCTCCATTCTTCTGTAACTTTTTCTCCGTTTAAGCATCTTTCGAATAATTTTCGGATCATTTCAAACAGTTTTGATAATCTATACCTAATCAACTCTAGATGTATTCCGCCTGGGTCTAGAGATTTTCTTAATATCATTACCTTAACTGCTTCTTTTACCTTGTTCTATTGATATTTCTATTTTTCCTTCTACTTCCACTTGTTCATTTGTCTGTTTAAACCATCCCATTTGACTTTTTTATTCAAATTTTTATATTGTTGTTTTGTTTGTTCATCTCCCTGTTGTAATAACTTTTGATACACTTTCTTTTTATCTTTCTTTCCACTTTTTTAACACACCAATATGGTTTATCTACTCTCCGTACCTGTGGTCCTAAGACTTCTAGCGCTGCGTCTTTCATACAGTTTTTTATATGTTCGTATTTATCCGTCGTTGATCTGTGTGATTTCTGTAGTTTTTGTGTTAGTCTCCAGGAGTAAAGGAACTGTGTGCTCTCGTTATCTAGATTGTCTAAGTTGTACGTGGTTCTTTCTATTTTTTCTCTGTGTTCTTTGTTGATGTCTGTGTGGTTCCTGTCTACGAATGGTGTATATATTTTTCCTGCCTATTATCAGGCAGTGGTCCAAGCCGCACTCTGCTCCTCTATTCACCTTTACATCCTGTACTCTTAACTTCATTGTCTTGTTATAAAATAATCTATTATCGATTTTAGACCTCTTGTGTGCTGATACCAGGTGTATTTATGTATGTTCTTGAGGGCGAAAAAACCATTCAAAATCAACCACTCATATTGTTGGCATATGTTTATGAGTCTTTTTCCGTTGTTGTTAACCTGCTATGCCTACCACTTTACTTTGTACTTGTTTTCTTACTCTGGCATTAAGGTCTTCTCCGCATATAATCTCACGGCTGTTAGGAATTTTGTTCAGGATTTTTCTAAAGTCTTCTTCAAAAGCTTCCTATTCTTGTACTGAATAGTCATCATTTACGGCATATACCCCCAGAATTGTTATTTGTCTTCCTCTTAAGAGAATTGTCACTTTAATAAAACATTCGTTGTATGCTTCCCAAGATTTAATATATTTTTCGAATTTCTTGTGTACAAATATTGATATCCCTGTCCTTGCTCTTTGATCCTTCTTCACTCAAACTACAAATATTATACATAGTCTTTTAATTTTTCGTTTCCATTTCCATTTTTCTTGGTCTTAGAGAAAATGGCTATATCTAATTTTCGATTTACAAATTCCTGCATAATTTCTTGTTGCTTGTTCCGGATTTCCTGTATATTCCAAATTCCGTAATTCATGGTCCATTTTCGTTGCTGATTTCGTCTACTGTAATTTCTGTCCGGTAACCAAGGCTCATTGGGTTTTTTAGCACTGTAGAATTTTCACAAGTGTAAGGTCGCTGGCCTTACGACTTAACCCCCATCCTGGAGGACCGAATTTTCTGTTGGGGTTTATTCCCCTAGCCGATATGTTCCAGTTTTTAGGCGCCAGAGACTCGCCTTTTACCCTCTCTCTTCTGCTACATAACGCACTCCCATTTTACGCCATGCACCCAGTAGTTACGCGACAAAGCATCGGCAGCTTCATGTCGCCTCCAAGACCCTTACCAGCCTTTAATCACCAAATATAAATACCTTATAAAACTAGTTATCTAATAAATTATTATTTAAATTTCAGAAAATAGTTGGAGGCCAAGCAATTGATTATTCCTCAAAGTCGATTGGTAATCTCTGAGTGACTGCTCTTCAAAGGGGTTGTTCCGCTATTATTACTTAATTTTCTTTTTCCGCTGGCAAGTTCAAACTAGAGCCATTAGGATAAAACAAAATAAAAGAAATTTTCCGGCTACATGTATCATTTTCCTTGCTTGCAAATTTCACTGTTATTTTTATTAATTTATTATTTGAAATTTAATTATTAATATTGATTTTGAGTAAAATAGTATATATAACTCGGAGGAACTCATTCCAGCCTCGCATTTGTAAATTAGTTGCTTCATTTATTGATAAAGTATCCTAACGCTCAGGTGTAGCCTAGAGTAGTACTTTCTCGTTACGTATAAAGGTAATAAACAATTAATATACCTGAAATACAAATAAAAGTTAGTCTGGTAAAATGAAATTTGTTTAGAGGGTCTGGATATAGTTTTGATAAATTCTTGACTACGTATTATAAAATACACTATTTAATATTTTAAAACTTAATTTTAATCTGATCCATATACTTTTTAAGGAAAACTTTCACATTATTCGATACCAAACGTAAAATCCTTTATAACTATTAAATTACTTAAGAAACACTTTGTATCATTCACAAAATTTATAGAAACAATTTCTATGAAATTTAGTTACACTTTTTAAACGTGATTATG